GCGTTTGCCGAAATGAAATGGGCAAACGCTTCAGGTTAGCAACATATGCTGCAGGAACAGCTCTTGCTCATCCAATCATAGGTACTTCCGATTAGCTAAAACTAAGTTGAATTAATCTAAAACTTCGTCACCCACTGGTTAAAAGCGGGTATTTATACCCAGATTAGCCAAAATATGTGAAAAGCACAATAAATTGTGTCCGGTTGAATATTATAATTGAATAATACTCCGGAGAATTCGCTAAAAACTTCCAGGTTTATCCAATCAATATTGAATTAAAGATGGAGTTCTGATTGGTTGAATATACTTGTACAGCCAATCCAATCCACGCAAAAATGGATTAGCCAATAGCGTCGATTCGACAGGGTCTGGAAATTCGTATCCAATCCACACAATACTGAAGTACTTCGAAGTATAACATAAGCCAATCCGACGCTCCTTGTCTCCAGCCAATAGACGACCTCGATTTATATTTTGCTCTAATATCATTGTTTTTATAATTGCATATGCCAGCCCTAATGGTCTAGTGGTATGATTCCTGCTTTGGGTGCAGGAGGTCCCGGTTTCGATCACCGGTTGGGGCCATGTTTTTAATCAATATATCGACTTTAGAATCAGATTTTTGACATACATCATACAATTCATGACATGATGCTCAACCCGGACGACTCCACGTCTCCGATGCCTTTGAAAGGAGGTATTTCGGGCGTGTCAGAAGGTGACGCCGAGATCTGCGTGTCGTTGGCGGCGACGAGTGACATGGGCAGGCGCACTAGTACACGACGCCTTCGTCTGCCAGGCACAGCGATGCGTCGCCGCGTCGTCGGATCAAAATGTCAGCCATTACACTTCGGCGACGCCGAGACGGCGAAGAGGACAAGGGCAATGTGTTCTGGAACGCCGTGACGGTGCTGAGTGTCTTGTCGCTCGGTGTGCTGACGGCGACATCGTTTGTGTTGGCGCAGACCGAGTGCAACAAGTGAACCTCATCAGTATGTCGATTGACAAGATCTTTTCCGTCGTGTCCGAAGAGAAAACGACCATCTACCTCCACAACACTAGTGCGTCCATTGCAAGAGCAGCCATATTCATAGATGTACACATCACCCTTCCTCGCGCTTCGTTGGCCATCTACCAGGCAAAGCCGCCTTCAATTACGAAGACCACGTCCTAACAATTGGACGTGTCAAGTCTGCTGCCGACGACGACCTGCCGTATTATGGCCTTAATGTGTACCACAACGGCACGATCAAATGGTTCATGGTTTGTTGATACTTCGTAGTCAATATTGCAGTGGGACGCCAAGGCGCTGAGCGCATGCACGTGACGTGTCCGACGGTGGGCACTATGTCGTTTCAACAGCCCTTGCGACTTGAAGTGGTCGGTCAATTCGCCACTACATCCGGGCTGGACGGGGACGTGGTCGTGGCGGGGGGCATGTGACAGGCGGCGACCTGCATCTCATGACCGGCCAGGCTACCGGAGACGATGCGTCGACATCCCCCGTCGGAAATGTCTTTATCAACGCCCTCAGTTCCAGGGGTACAACAACGTCGGTGGGGACGAGGGCCACGTAAATTCGGTCCAACTCGTCGTCGAATGTGGTTGTGGTGCAAGGATCGATTCAGTTGAACGCGGAATCGTGGCTACTGCCCGTGCAAGTGGGGGAACATGTGTCTTGGCGGCGATGTCGGTGGCCGTTGGAGCTGCCGACGCGACCGCGTTCATTTAAGTACAAGCCCAACGTTGTTAACGCGAGTGATTTCGTGGTCGATGTCAATGCTACCGTGACCGTGACGGCTCCCCACGTTGACGTTGTGACGGCAGCAGGCAGAGGGGTACTTTTTACTGGCTCGGTCGGCAAGAAACTTGTCTCAGACAAGTTTATCGTTGGCTTTGATTTGGTTGACACGTATGGTTGGCGACGAAGTCGAGGCAAGTCGGTTCACAACATCATTACTGGCGCTGGGTAACGTTCCCAGCACCGGTCTGTTCGAATTTGACTTGGCAGTTCACGGTCTGCGCGCTGAAATGGACGAGTTGAACGACGTCGAGACGTTGCTCCTTCAGTACAATGCTACGATAGTGCACCTGAATGTATGTGGTGTACTAGTATGGCAAAGTGCCAAGTGGTGCGACAAACTCGCAGTCTAGCGAAGGAAGAAGGCGTGGAGGTGAAGGTCGTCGTCGTCGAAGCCACGGTGGACGTAGACGAGTGGCATTGCCTCGACGATGATGAAGCGATAGCTCCGACGTTATATGGTCGGTCCATCGTTCAGTTTCAAGGGGAGGTTGCCTTGTCAGCCACGCATTCTGTTGAGTGTGCCTCGAGATTGCGTCGAAACCGTGGCTTGACGCCAGCCATTCATTCACTGACGTACGATTGAGTGGCCCTGAGCGTTCGACAAGTGTAATACTAGTTGTTTAACTATCCTCCGTATCGTTCTCTTGCGCTGATATATCCGTGAGGACTGTCACGACGGTGCCAGCTTTGTCCTGGATGCCTCCGTGGTCAGCAAAGCAAGCCATCGCTGCCTCACACACTTCCACGGCCCCTACATCATGCATCGTTCACTCTTCATTATACACAATACCTCCAGAAACGTGTAAAAGAAGACTATAACACCTTCATGTTTTGCAAATGTCTGTACGGACTCGAGCCCTGCCACGAGATTGAGCAGGGCCCAGCTCCCATAATACTGAACTGCCGCGTCGGCGTGACAATTCAACATGGCAGCAACGATTCCGCCAACACCGCCGCGGGCGGCAATGTGTTCGCACATAAAGTCTACATACATTATTCTATCAAGTCCATAGTGACAACTCGGGCAAAGGGCGATTTCATCTAGTAAGAATGTACCAGAGCCAGCTAAACTGATGAGTGCCCAACAGCATCCTTGTTGGATCGAAGTATCGTGAGGAAACGCTTGCATCGAGTCGAGCACGCGTTCGATGCCAAGCTGGAGCAGAATTTTCCGCCGGTTGCCTTCTACGACATATGGCGTCAAATCGACAATGCACGAAGCTCTTTGCACTTTGAAATGAGTACATACCACAATTGTGAGCCAAATTGGTCAGTGTCGTGCAACTGGCTTGCTGAATGGCCTTGTCCGAGACGTGCCGCGCCATGGCCCCCAGAACTTGCTCCAAACACCCTTCGCACACGAGCCGGACTCTATTCACATCGTGGTTGAAGGCCAATACCCCCACCAATCGAATAGCGGCCAGCTGGAGTGCCACGTCATCAGGATACATCCCCATCCAAGTCACGATCTGCTTGAATGCCCCGGCGTCGCCCAGCGAGTCTTTCACCGACCCTGTTGTATTCGCAACCAGCAGGTGAATGTATTAATTGCCACAAGTCAAAATGTCAAGCCTACGTACCGTTGGTTTCACAAGCCCAGTGCAATTGCTTGAACCCAGCCACGAGCACATCCACGTGGGTGTGGAAGTTGTCTAGCAACTCCAACAGCGTTGGCACCCCCCGCCCATATGCATCTCGCACGAGCTGGTTGGGGGGCTGGTTTTGCCTTGCCAAAGCGAGTTTGCTCACACGATCGGCCTTGTCCCGCTCGCGTCTTTCATCGCACCCCTTGCAGTACCCCGACGGCTGGATGAGGAAGGGCGGGGCATCGCACGTCAAGTCCAGGCAACGTCGGGACTTTAGTGCAAGTTCTGTAAAAAGTCATTGTTAGCCCACTACTACAACGAACCCTATACATTCAAACTGCTACTTCAATCAACACGACCTTCGTCTTGTCGTTTTTTCAGTTCCCGCGTCAAAGCGTTTTCGGTGGCTTTCAGTTCCGATTGAACCGAAACGAGTTTGGTTTCGAGGGCAGCTGTCGTCGTTTCGTAAGATTGGATCGTTCGTTCGTGTGATTTGCATGCATCTTGAGCTTGCCACAGCAGGCGTTGGGTGGTGGTGAATTGGTCTTGCAGGGCCGTGCACTGTGTCTGAGCCTCCTAATGTCAAAACGACGGCAATAGTTCAGACTCCATATTGCGCATTCCTAATCGTACTTGCAACGCCGAGTTGGCAGCTTGGACCGTAGCTTCCATGGCTGCCATGTTCCCACGAAATTCGACCATCTATACCTCATATTGCAGTTTAAAAGTGCATTAGTCGAATGTGGAGGTCACTGGGCGTACCTCCAGCAATAGCTTCTGGATATGCTGCTCGAGACTTTGCACTTGAGCGTCGTGGGCTTGAGTCCGTTCTAGGGTGTCGCTGCCAGTGTCTGGATGCCACCGTTTCACTTGATCCAACAAAGTCTAGGCAAACCCATGGGCATCAGTTGGATGCTTCTCCACTTTAGATATGTGTGCCTTGTTTTGGTCTCGCACTTCGGCGACAACTCGTTCTGCTTTGTCACGCAGTCTTCGTTCGTCTTCCACTCGCTTGATCGTTTGCTGCCATCGGACGTTCAGCTCGTCACTGAGCGCTTTCTCCTTTGCCATTGCGTCTTTTGTAGCCGCCAAATGTTGCGCCATCTCCACGCGTTCCTGTTCAATTGCCTGGACCTACCACCATAAATTCCTAGCATCAACGAACAACGAAACATAGCTTTTATTTATTGTACGGACCGACACCCTCATGTGATCGTATTCGCGTTTGCAGTGCTGCATGTCATTCAGTTGCGATTGATTCCGTGCATTGAGCGTGGCCACTTGGTGCTCGAGCGTCTTGACTTGGTGCGCCCACTTGTCTCTGGCATCGATGGCATCGCGCATGGCCTGCTCCACCTCGTCCTTCTGTGCCAACGCTGCCACAACCTGTGCATGCATTTCCAGCCGTTCATTTTCTTTCCCAGTCAGCAACCCGTTCAACGTTGCGATTTCCGTGTTGGCAAACTCGAGTTGGCCGACCACGACGTCGAAATTGCGCTGTTCTTCGAGCACTTGCGCCTCCACAGCCTCGAGCCGCCGGGCTACGACAGTCGGCCCTGGCGCCGCTGTCGGGGACTGTCTGGCCTCCACAGCTCCAAATCGCATGGCCACCGCAGCCTCAGCGCCCGCAAGAAGGGGTAGTGACATTTGCAGCTTAAGTAATGTGTCGCACACCTCCGAAGGCTGCGGTCGGTTGCCAGGGGTTTCGTCCAGGCAACGTCGCACCAACGATTCAAATTCCGTTTGCGGGTGCCGCACCGACACTTGGGCGATGCGGTGGTGCAGCTCCACCGTCGGGAGCTCACCGCAGCACACCTCCCACAGCAGCACCCCAAACACGAACATGTCGTCGGCCATTGCAATCGCGTCGGCGGGAGGAGGCTGCTGAAGAAGCGGGGGACTGTACGGGGTGATTACGTTTGGAACCCCCGCGATGTCGAGAATGTCACGCTGGAACAACCCGAGCAGTTTGACATTGCCGCCGGCGTCGAGCAGCACCTTTCGACTTGTGAGGTGTCCAAGGCCGCAGCCGTTGCAGTAAGTTATGGCGTGGAGAATGTCCAGTGCAATGTGTACGACTGCGGCGTCAGTAAGAGCAATATGGTGGACATGGAGGAGGTCGTACAGACTCGTAGCCTGTCGTTCCATGACGAGCATCGACGAACGAACGTCGTCGGTATCGACGACAACCCCAAGGAATTGCACAAGGTTCTAACACGGAAAGGGGGGAGGGTTATAAGCGGCACTACTAACACGAGGTTATACATACTGGATGCACGCTGGCGAATAGTCGGGGAATATACGGGAGCGTGGCATCCCACAATGCCTGTTGGCGAGAGGACTCGCGGTACCTCAGCACGGCGACGATTGTGCCTTGGAAAGTGGCTTCGTAAATGTCCCAGTGTTGGCTTCGATTCAGTTGTGATGACCTGTGGACGTGAATGGCAATCGCTGGAATAACCATGTCGTCCCATGGTGCCTCCTTGTCGCCGCGACGGGGTGCCCCCCCTCCTCCTGACATCCTCAGATGAAACCGTCCACGCCGTTTCACGACACCGGCCAGTTACACCGTGTTGATGTAGCAACCAGAGTGTGAGGGACTGAAAGAAGGACAATCAGTGGCCGTTTATAGTCGTTGGTCAACTGGAGGTGCACACCAATATTGAGTTTCAACTAGGAAATTCTTCCTGGACGACACTAGACTTATCGTCGGGGAGGTGGTGGCAGCTCGACTACAGTAGTGAGTGCCTCCGTGACCAATATATATATATATATATATATACAATCGACTGTGATATGTTTCATTGCATTTATGAGGACACGACTATAGGTCTACGGAGCCAAGTCCCGTCGATCGAATTGCGCCTTGTCAAACTTGGTGACGGCCAACTTGCGTCCGCCAAAGAACCGCCCGTTCAGACCAGCCATGGCTACACTCGATATGTCATGTATTTAAAACCCAGCCAAGTCAGCACCAAGTGAGACATCGTACCTTTGGCAGCGTCACTTTCGTGCACAAACTCGACGAAAATACGCACCGCTTCTTCGGGGGGTACGCGAAACGGCACCTCAAACACGATACACTGTGCCACGGGACCGTACTTTCCTTCGCATTCTTCCCTGACTTCGTCGTTCAAGTCGTCGTCCACGTCCCCAGGTGCCACCATATTCTGCCCCCGCAATACACGCTCAAACGATGTCACAGGACGACATACACCGTACCAGGAGCAACAACACGCTTTGCTTGGTGTCCACATCGCTACGTTGGCCAAAGCGACTCAGGCGCGCCTTCTTCACCACCTCCACGGGTCCTACACACACTGCGGTAAGCGCTGCATTCAACGGAAATACAGTACTAGCAGCGTGGACATGGGGCGTAGTCGCCTTCGCGGCAGCTCCACCCGACGGAGCAGGGGGTTGACTGCTCGATGGCGCAGCACTTGTCTTGTCCGAAGCGTCGGGGCGCAACGTAGTGGAGGCATGACCAACATCGTCAAATTGCCCTTGCACTGGTGACGGGTGCTGTGGTCTGCTCGGAGTACTTGAAGTTTCATGTTCGGCTGTTCCTTCGCTAGGGGCACTCCATAAACACACTTCGTTGACCACGCAAAGTATGTGCATATGTTCACTTACATCTTTTTCATCATCCAAGCTGGCAAGTTCATCCCACGACCGCGGCCACCTACGTGCATCATGTCGCCCATGTTGTGAGTACAACCTCAAGGGAAAGACACGAGAGGGGTACCTGGCACGGTCGTTGTGGCCAGGTTAGGCACCCGACCGGCCTCCAAGTCCTTGTCGAGCTGCTCGCGGTCTCGCAGCCGTTCCCGTTCCAGCCGCTTCTGCCGCCGTTCCAAATCTGCGCGAACTTCGGCGTTCTTTTGACGAATTTCACGCTCTTCGCAAAACGCCGTGTAGTCGTTGGGCCGATGTGGGTCGTACTCTTCAACCACGCTGTCCGGGCGATGCAAGTCCATGGCTTTGGCGTCGACGGCCGAGAACGACACGTCGTCTGCGGGGGTATCGGTGACAGCATGTTTGCTGCGCGTCACGGACACGGGCGTGAATGCTGCCATGCCAAGCGAAGTCTTCAACGACGTGGTGGCGTTGGCAGGGGAAAACCGAGTCGAAATGCCACTGTCAGACGATCCGGTGGTCAGCGGGCTGGGCCGAGGTACCGGTTCCTCCCGTCGACGACGAGGAATGAACTTGAGTGCACTGCTAGATCCTGCACTGCCTGGGAGAACACACAGAGACAGCTCAGGCATCAAGAATCACGCAGCAATGGACACTACTTTTCGCGGGAGGAGCCACCTCGGACTTTGAAGATGCTGCTGCCTTTGATGGATTCATGGAGTCCTTTGCTCCTCCACCGGACGTGAAGCCCAGGCCAGACTGGCCGGTCGCTGGTACATTCGTGTACTTGTCCAAATCACCATACAAATCCATCGCACTTGGACGTTGGACAACCAATTTTTGGCTGCCGTCGCATTCAAAATGCATGGGTCCCCCCAATTAATTCCATTTTTCTACATGGGGGGTCTACAAAATTAATTTAAAACTAATTTACAGCTAGATCGGAACTTCACATATTTGAGATGCCCAAGTGATTCGTCAACGTTCATTTGGTCCATGGATGCGAGTGTTGCTGCAGTGCTTGATCGTGCACATTCACAACCACCTTGATGGTGATATCTCAGACCTGTACAAAGTTGCGTATTCGACTTCTGTCGGGGATGAGGTGCACCTCGACGGAACCAACACAACGCTACAACCACCACGCGATCCTCCAGGAGCTCGTCGTCAGTTTCTGCGCGCATGCAGAGTTTGTCGTGTGTACTATAGTCCATCACCTCATCTAACACCAATCGCACGAACAATTATCGCGGCGGCATGACACTCGCATTCGAGGCCAATGCCATTCGTCCTCGACTCTGGCTGCTATGTGGACTGCAGCAACGAAACGTAGACGGCGAACTGGGCGTCCACGGTTGGTAGGGATGCTCAAGATACAGTAGTACACGAATGCATTGAGTTCCTGCCTCAACCGCCGCTAGTAGTGTTGTCTAACGCGGTTCGTCGTCAACGTTTCGTCGCTGCTGTCCATGTGGCAGCCACGTCAAGGACGAGCGCGCCAATCCCGTCGTTCCGTCTGTTCGCGTCCTACGACCACGAATGATGGTGGTGATGGAATGTTCCACATACGACGGCAAGAAATTAAAATACAATTGTTCAATTTTGTATACAATTCTCAAGTGTCATAGTCTAATATTACCGAACGAACGTAGTATCAAAGTATGCTAAAAAAATACGCCGTTGGTTTCGAGAAATATCCAGCAGCCAAGCCCCACACAACCACAACCTTCGAATTCCACCATGCATTCCCTAGATACTATCTATATATGGAACCTGTACCTATGTACCGTTCTCAATGAGATCCAAGTATTATATACACTCTATTCCTCTCACTGGAAGGCCACCTTTCACTGAAGCGTGACTGAGCTTATTGTTACTAATTAAAACTGCAAGACAGTTAGATTATGGGAGAGGTCAGGTTGAACTTGAATAGGCGCCCTCTAAATTAGGTTTTGTCCAGCTGTTTCCCTCGATTTGAACACCAATTGTTATAGAGAACTGATCGAATGGTCATTAAACCGAGGTCATCTATGCCACAATATCACTGATCGGTTTCTTTAAGTTTCAGTATGCTCAATGCGAATTTAAAAAAGAACAAGCCGGTTGGTATCGTGTATATTCGGGGACGAAGAAAACGGGGCGTTAGTTTTCTTTTTGAGGGTTTCGGAGCACCCCCTCACCACAAGCCAAACACACCATGCAACAGGAAGGCGAATGCACCAAGCTATGCGCGAACGGCTGCGGTTTCTTTGGCAATGCCGCGAGTGGCGGCATGTGCTCCGTGTGCTGGAAGAAGACCATGTCGAATCGCCAGGTCGAAACCGATGCATACACGTCACCCCCGACGACAACGCAAGCTGCCGTGCCGGCACCTCTAGTCGACGCCGTCGTTCCCACGCCCGCCGTCGCGTCCCCCGTAAACACACCGCCTGCTGAAGAAGCTGTCGAGCCGGTCGTCGTTCAAAAAAACAAGGGACGTTGCTGGGAATGCAAGAAAAAAGTCAGACTCACTGGCATCGAATGCCGGTGCGGTTTCGTGTATTGTGGCTCGCATCGTTTTGCTGACCAACACAATTGCTCGTACGATTTCAAAACGGCCGATCGAGCAGAATTGGCCAGACGCAACCCCGGGGGTGGAGCTTTTGGCAAGATTGACAAGCTGTAAGCAAGTGTTCCATCAGCCCAGTCGCCGTCGCCGCTGGTCGCCCTGGACTTGTATTTTCCAGAGGCGGACCTTCTCCCGGCAAGACTGCGTGTCGGACCAGAGTTCGATTCGCCCCCCACGATGGATTTAGCTTGTATAAGGCAGGTGTAGGTTAGTTTTCTCTATAATTTCGAAATACTTGAATTGATCACATTGCGTCGTGGCGGCGACGGCCATGGACCACTAAAAGCGGCGAGGACTAGCACGTCGTCCTGGAAAAAACTCGTGGCCATGTGACAGTCTCATTGACAAGCACTTTTAACGTTACACTTCACTTTGTCGTTACTAGTAATCTCCATATTCCACCATGTTGGGCCAAGTCACAACTACAGATCGACCTTGCCCTTTGAACATGCCGACTCATATCAAGCAACTTAAGCTTCCTATCACGAACGCCAACAATATGTTTTACTACTTTACAAACGGTCGCACACGGTCACACACACACACAGTTGCGTCGTCGTCCCTGTTGACTATGGAAAGAAGATCTGCGACACGGCCTTGTCGAGCTCCCCCCAGCCCAAGTCACCGTCAAAGTCAAAGTCAAGGTCTTCGAGCAGCTGGTCGTGCAAGTGTCGGTCGAGTGCGTTGCAGCTGGGAAACCCCCCAAGCAACATGCCGCCGCCTTCCATCTTGGGAGTAGTAGTAGTACTAGCGCTGCCAACCACGTCGTGGATGGGTGTCGTCGATGCCTCGCCCGTGGTGCGGAACCATTCCTGGACTTTGATGGCTTCGGCTTCCGTCTCCATAATCTTCTTGGACGTGACCGCGGTCGCGTTGTCCTGGACCTGCGCCTTGAGCGCCAAGAGGTCCCGCATGCACGCGTCGTGCTCGGACTCGTGGAAGAGGCGGTCCCGTCGGAACGTGATCTTGCCCACGGAGCACTCGCGCACAAACTTTTTGGAGATGCGCATGGCGTGGCAGTGGAGCACCACGGCCAGAAACGACCGCAACGGCGTGCCTTCCACCAGCGGCATCTTGCCCTGCGTGAACTGATCGATGAGCTTTTGGGCGAATGCGTTTTCGGCGGGCGACCACGCCCCTCGTCGCAGAGGGGTCGTTTCATCTATCCTAAGCCCCACGGACGTCATGAAGGCCGTGGCTTGTTCCTGATTGATCGTCGCCTTGGTGGGGCTGGGCGCACACAGGCGCTGTCGCGCGTTGCGGAACCAAATGCCGATTTGCTTGATCGTGAGCCCCGAGTCGTGCGACAGACGACGTTTTTCCTGAACACGGGGGACGTTGTGAGTGACGAGTGCATGTGGTGGTGGTGTGGGAGGAGGTGGGAAAAAGATGTACTTGTTCCGAAGGGTACGGATGCTCTTGGTTGTGGGGATCAAAGAGCCAGTCGCGAAGGACTCGAGTCGCGTTGGATGTGCCGCTACACCCGCAAGCAGCGTCCATGAGTGTCGTCCAGGCACACATCATGAATGGGCTACGAGCTTACCATTTTCGAAATTTGCGCTTTTTGTCCGTGGACAAGATGGAGCCATCGTCACCGTCGACATGATGCGGGGGAGTACGTTCCATCGAATCGGTACAAGAGTCCGACAACGCTGGCGGCATGTCCACAGAGACGTTGCTTCCGACGAGCACCTCTTCCTTCACCACAGATACAAGTGGAGACATCTGGTGCGGATGGTCAGCAAGTAGCAAGGCGTCATGCTCGCAGTCATCGCCACAGGTCATGACAACCTCTTCGACTTCGACCTTTACGATGGGAGAAGACGGTGGACTCAGAGTCTGCTTGGCCTTCTTCACTTGCAGCGCTGTCACGCGCCACGCCCGGTAGCTTTCACGGATGAACCCGAACGCACGGTGTTGGCGGTGGTCTTGGTCCACAAGGCGCTGGTAAAGCGTTTCTGGTACCGATAAGTGCTCGACTTCGGACGAGCCTCCCGAGTTCTCCAATGCCGTGGGCCAGAACGAGTACATGCCAATGGACACCATGTGAGGAGTTTGAATCACCGACATCGTAGGAGGTTGAAGTAGGTCCAAGTCGTGTGACGCTAGTAGCCCGACCGAAGCCTTAGCTCTGGTGAGGAGGTGCGAAGAGGTGAAGTGACCACCGTGGTTTTTGCTGGCCGCATCCCCACCCCGCGAGTTTGTCTCGAGGTCTGGGTACAAGATGTAGAATAATACGCAAACATTTAACTTGATATGATTATACTAGAGGATAGCTATGATTATACATAGGGATTAGGATTTGCCAATCCATACAACATATGAGGTTTTATGGGACGAATCCAAGGGTGCTGTGCTTAAAATTGGACAAATTTAATGCCCACCCTATGGGGGAATGGCCAGAATTGCATTTGGTTGATTCCGGTTACCGCAACACTATCATTAACATATCCGGATTTGTGGGTTATACCTTTTCATGGCATCTGTTATGGGCCAATGAAAACAAGTCATTTTGGGATAAACCTGGCGCTTCGATTACCAATAATATCAAAATTCGATGGGTGGAAGCCAGTACTAGTATACTATGTTTCTTATCTTTCCACCTCGGGCTGACATTTCCGCTGCGAATCTTCAACACAGATGGTTGAAGGTTTGACCCACCGTCACAGGTTCTCATGGTGGACAAGATGCTCCGTTCCTTTGGGCAAAACAATTGAAGGAGTGAGAGCGCAATATGCAAACATATACTCAAGTACCAAATTGATATGGGCATTGCTGCAACATGTTATCGATAGATCCAACATGAGCCGTTCACTTCGTGATATTGCATCATCTCGTTGAATACGTACACCAATGTGAGGGCAAGGTTTGCGGCACACGCAGTGTGTGATCTTCACGACATTTGGACTAGTACTTCGAGGTACATAATATAGAAAAAATATATTTACATGAATATAGCTTGGTTTGGTTTTTGCGGATATTGCAGCCAACATAAAACAAATTCAACGTTCGTTTTGGGCCAATAAGTTGAGAATCTTCTGAAACGAGGTGGCACACAGACCACGTAATGCTGGCGCCAGCAGTACAGTATATTCCCTGAGAGCAACAGGTCCACTGTTGCTTTTGTATTTCTTTCACTTTTTATTATTATGTCATAGTCATATGCAGTGTAAACCACAACAACACATTTCGGCTAACGTTAGGGGTTAATAGTAAGTGCAATTCAGTGGTTACCGATAGCAAACCACTGGTGATGCAACTTAACCCCGGGGTAGCCGCACAAGAGCTCCAGGGACTCCGAGGCTACAAGGCAACTGGTTCGTTCGATGGGGAACGGTTACGTAAGCTACAGTGGAACTATTGCTCTCACGGAATTTTTCTGGCGCCAGTGACTGCATAAATGTGTAGAATTACCACGAAACTCGAGACGAGGCAGGGCAGAGAGGTTGTCCACATTAAGCTTACGGGTACAGTACGTCACATTGTTGGTGACACTGCCTGCCCCCATGCATACACGCACCCTTGTTCATCCTTGGTTTCGTTTCTAAACGTTCGGAGCTTGGGGTGTCAAGGAACGTGACGGGTGTTGGCATGGTCTCCTTCACAACGCATATGGTGCCACCGCCTGCGAGCACTCCAATCTGGTTCGTGGTTTGGGCCACCACTTCAACATTGAATGTGCCCATGGGACGTTTCGGCCACAAACTTCTGCACCGCACGAATGTGTACATGTACAGATTGTCAATGCCACCGGACGGACGCCACTGGCAACGAACAACATCACCAGTACTAGTATTTACTGTTAATTTGAATTGATGTGGTAAATTGCAGTCGCTTTCTCCTGCTGGCGGAGGGAGGACCATAAAGTGGACAAATCACCCACATACCGGTATGGTCACCCACGAAAACCGTCGTGGCACGTTGCCAACGACAACATGATTTGCTGTCAATGAAATCGTCCTCAACATGTCTAGTCTATGGCGCTCGCTGGACTGCTACCGGTTACTACCACGTTGTGGGTTCAGGGGTGTCGTTTGATGCTTTGAGAGAATGGTTGGTGGTAGCGTAACGCCAAAATCAAAGGCAATCGGCAGCTTTTTTCTTCCACTTTGCTACTGTAACATCATACTATATTAATAGTATGAACAGTACTATTACAATAGTACTGTACTACGTATTAGTAGTACTTACAGTCTGTTAATAGTACTACGATTATGTAGTACTACCGGTAGTATAGTACAATACAATTGCCTCGTCTCACGTTTGGAACCCGTGATCAACTTCAATGATCCCCGCAATTTGTGTGGTTTTGCCGTTGGGACAAACCCTTGGATTACAAATATTCATGCTGGAATACTCTATACTGTACTATTAATAGTACTATAGCTGTAGTATAGTAGCTGTACTAATGTATTAATAGTGCGAATACAATCTGAAGGTATATTGACCAGTGAAATGTACTACTTTTAATAGCGTTGCTGCATACTAATAGTACTATTAACAGTACAGTGTAGTATACAGTATTATCTGCGGGGGTCTGACCTCCGTACAATCCCAGTGAACACCGGTAAGCTAGCAAGCCAAACTGTATACGCAGTCTAACGTTAACAAGAATGCATGCCTGGACTCGACGATTCCCTGTACAAACTTGGTTTGTTGAGGTGAACGTATCGGCGAAGAACTGTCTCTCATAGCTCAGCCGAAGTCCATTTCTCAAACCTAATAATGCAATTCCAGACAACGATGGATTTTAAGCCACACCGAAGTTTATGTGTTGTATCCATGTATTGTGGCCAATAAGACTGAGCTATTACAAACCAGTAGGTTTGATTTGTCATTGAAATCGAATTTCGAGCTTATATAGGCCAATCAGAGTTGAAAGTAAATAATTTACTTCGATTCAAAGTGTGGCATATAAAATCCATCGTTGTTTTTATACAATCTATACAATACTAGTATGAATACGCTACTACACAATTGTATTCTACGAAACACTACCGGGTAACGTAAACAATCATTGATTTGCCGAACTTCTTGCCCAATAGAATGTCAGAATTGATATGATTGGATATAACTAGCGACTGCAACAATGAAACCCTTAGTGAGTTAATACTATTCCAGAAATTATATTATAGAGTTTCAATCTTATTTGGAGGTACGTTAAACCTATGATAATGTATTACTTTATAAACGAATAGTAACTGTATAAATAGATATTTGTATCGTTTGCTCAGCCCATTCGCAATACTTTAATCAAGTCTAAATTTCGGCAAATCTATGATTTACTGTTTGGAGTGGACATCTTTACAATTTTATTACTTCAATTCCAAACATTTAAATTGACGTGTGTTTGAATCTAACTATTGAGCTTGGACTAAGGATTATAAAAATGCAGCTACCAAGTTCAATTTGTAAAGTAAAGTAAAAACTGCACGAGATATGCTCCAAACAACAATCAAAATTCGCAAATCAATGATTGTTTACGTATACATATATGGTGCACGTCACCGACTGTAGCTACATTTCACAAACCGTCTGGCTGCTATTTCATCACCATTTCTCAAACGAGAACAGCGTAGTTTTGACAGATCTCGTCGTTGTTACGTCTCAAAATCAAACTTAGCACCGAATTGGTCAGGTAATACTACGTAGTAGACTTTAAACCAAGTGGTATTTTTGTATAGGGCCAGTAGATTTTGGCGACGAAGGATATTGTAGAAATAAAACGCATACAATTGAGATTTAACGTGCCACATTTTAGGTTTACAGTTAACCGACAATGCAAAAACGATTGATAGAAAAATCTCATATACCTGAATTGGCCAATAGAAAAACGTCCTGTATCTGAATCGGCCCTACATGCAACTATTTTTGACCGGAAATTATACCACGTTCAAATCGTCCAAATTAGTCCACGTAGACTGACGGAACACGTGCAAATACACCACCTAACTGTAAATATAACCTCATGCATGCACGCCAAAAACCACGTGCAAACATTCTACGCCCGACCTCAAACATGCCAAAAACTGAAATATAGCTTACTTTGGGTGTGATTATATCCCGCAATAAACATCGTAACACCGCCCATGCCTCGTTATTACGTAGTATCAATGCTGTTGTACATGCTACCATGTGCTTGCGTTGATCGGTGATCTCTGAGCCACGAAGCAGCACATTAAAGACGCATTTTGGGCTAAAACTTCAAATATACCGTGAAAGATGACAAACAATTATTGTCATCTTGAGCTATAATTTATAGCATACATTGCTATGTTATGTTATAATTTTCTAACATTTAAATATCATGAAGTATTTTTAAGAGTTATGCAACCGTTTTGTGTGGAGTCAAGCAACTCAGCGCAATCGATTGAGGACGATGCCAATCTTTCAAAATGGCAATTAAAAGTAGTGCACGTTTCTTTCTTCCTCAGGCTGAACTCGATTTGATTCTAGTGCGTTGTATGGTGATGATGAACTATGTATGCACTGCCATTCGTTTGAGGATTGTAAAGTTGATCATTTCCCGCAGCCACCTGTAAAGCACTTACTGTTAGTTGCAGCGAAGCATGTAGACATCCTGGCTCATGTCGGCTTCAATGACAACTTTACTGAACCTTTAATCCACTTATTTTTGAACTTTAGGTTTTTAGTTTAAACCAGGCATTTAATCCAGTACTTTAATCTTACTGTTAACGTAACAACTATGCTGCCCAGTGAGTGGGCTGCGTCGCGCACAGGAAGCTGGCATGAACGCTGATCTTCGTGCTGTATTGGTCACAATGACCACAACAGCCTGATATGAAATTTGTGTTGCGGCTGCATGAGATGCCATGGACTGGAAGGACGCAAGCGATGCATGGCACAATGCCGAGGTGTTGACTGTGAATTCAGCTTCATTTGTCCATCAGATCACCTCACTCCTTGGCTGTTCTTGGCATGCCCATTCCAAGTGGATACTGTACCTCTATGATACCATTGCTTTCACCCCAATACATTTCGTGTTGCGCACACGATTAGGGAATCGTCCTTGAACGCCGATTCGTTGCCGTGTTGTTTGTCCAAGACGTCGCTGGCCGTGGTGCCTACTCGGTTGAACTGCGCCTTGTGTTCGCTGCGAGATTACAGGTATCGATGGCAGGCTGAGCCTACTGCCACAAAGGTAATTTATCGTGTTAACCCGCTCGGATGGTACTAAGTGTTTTGAACCAAGCGAGCTACCGAGCTACTACTGCATGTGCACCATGTGTTGGCTGTTAACAGTAAGCAGTCCTTCGTGTGAAACTCTTATTATCCGGATATCCGGATGAATGCCTTTGACGGTTCCCACTTGCATGAAATCATAGCGGCGCTACACCTTGTCGAGTCACATCGTTGCGTGAACCACTTCGTAGCAGCTTCCCTGATCCTCGTCCATGAAAGCGACCACTGGATTCCTCTCGAGCTTCATGCCTGGGAAGAAGTCCTCGGCTCCGCCAACGCCAACAAACTCTGGGCCTGCGCGGACAAGCGATTTTCCTTCGTCGACCACGGGTGCGAACCCGTTTGCGTCCATCGCGCAACCCATCACATCTACAACGGCGGGTAACCCATTCGCCGCCTCGTCGTCTTTGTCGGCAGAGCCCCCTGCGAAGAATCCGTTCGAGACACCATCGGCGAATCCATTACCCCCTCCCTCGGCCCCTCGAACCCAGTCTGGACATGCATCCAACAACTCTTCACCATCATCGAATCCGTTTGCCACGCCATCCTCATCCTCGAGGAACCTATCCATCGACCCCACGATGCCAGCCGCCACCATTCGCTCCACCGACTCGAATTCGTCCGCGGGCAGTCACCACAGCTTCTCAAAGTCATCCAAGCCGCCGCCAATGTCTTCTTCCACGACGCCGACGTCCAGTATGCGCGGCATGATGTCGTCGGCGTCCTCGTCTGTGTCCAAGATGACATCCGCGTTCACGTCGGCGTCTGTCATCATGGCACCGGTCAAGGGCATCGGCGCCATGACATCGGCGGCCGGGTCGGTCGTCGGGTCGGCTATGGCCCCCGTCGGCAAAGGCCTTGGCGTGATGACGTCCGCGGCGGGGTCGGCGGTCTCGTCGGCCGCCGACATGCTCATGCCTGCCGACTTTCCCAAGCTCTTTGCATCGTCGAAAACCGACATTTCAGGTTTTTACCATCCAGACATGGACAACGACTCTACGTCCAACGACGTGTCGGACGAGACCCGCGAGTTTCTCGCTGTATCAGGGCACAACCTCCACTCGGTCCTGTCCAACCCTCGCGGCGGCAACTGGGGCGACGCGCTGCTCGACGCCCTCACACTCCCCGGGGAGACGGAAGCTGTCCTCTCGGCCATGCTCACACTGCCGACCATCAGCCGCCGCGATTTTGACGGGTACATGAAGAACCTGAGCGAGTCGAGCGCGCTGTACGCGAAAAACCACGAGCGGCCAGTGAGGGAACAGCTTGCGTCGGCAAACGTCCCGACTGTCCAAGCGGCCAACGGTTCGCTACATATGTGACACTGCGTGATGTTACATGAATATGTGTGTGTGAGGACTGTATGTGCTGTGGTTGGTTATGCCTTGTGTATATCGAATAATGTTATTGCAGATTATATCTGTCTTATGTATGTACTTTTGACCAATGGGATTCATTCGTGGCGGTGGTGGTAACCTCGCTGTGGAAATGAGATACAGTCTTTATTGTCTGTCGTTTTACCCGTACATTCATTCTTTGCCAAATCTATCTATTGTACTTTCGAGTGAATAATTTCATTGTGTTGTGGTTTCTCGTTGGAATTTAAATCGATTTGATTGGCTACTTCAGTTGAGCTGAACATTATTAGCCAACCAAAACCCATTTCTAAATGAAATTCATCCAATCAGATCGATTGTGGATCGGTTTGGTCGATTGCACCCCGTCCCCAAATTTGTATATCAAATCTATCTATCGATGATCGATTTTTTGTGTTGTTCCTGACACTTTTGTAAAGAATTGTCCAGATTCACACGAATTTCAATCACACACGAATTCGATGTGTTGAATTGGTCGAATGTGAGTGGATAATCTAATGATTGGCTAGTTGATTCATGTTTTGTGTTTTGATTGGTCGATATATCGATTGTCTGCCGATTGGGTGCTTGCTGGTCATTCGATTGAGCAGCACCCAAACACTCGAATTTCGAATATATCGAATGAACCATATTTGGTGGTGTCGATGCATCATTCTCTAGTTTAAACACAACAATATACTTTCTCTGTTCCAGGTTACTGCCGACATTTCAAAGTTACTGGCGACATTTGCATTTCATTGGCTGTAATTCTTCAATTTCTATCGAACATTTATGACATTTCATTGGCTTACAATTCCTTATTATAAACCAATCTTTTGCGAAAATTCATGCAATTCCCAAAGTATCATTCACCCCCAAATTGAGTGACGGCTCGATTGTCAGTGTCAAAGTAAATGTCGGCAGTAACCTGGAACAGAGAAAGTATTGTCTTGCTTTAGAAGTTATATATATGCGACGAATGCTCGCTCTTCCATGGCATAATTTATTCTAAAACCTAAAAAATAAATAAATGTTTACTTGCATTTCAAAGAACCTGCATCGTATGGCCTTATGGAGCGTGGTTGAATCTGTGTGTGTGTGTGTGCTGTAGAGGACGTAGCGCTGTGCTTTCAAGCCGTACCCTCGCTGTACTTTAAGCCCGATTTCGATCTGACCAACCCCGCGACTTTTGACGCTGTCGTCGCGACCGATTCAATCCAAGTATCCCAGGAAAAGGTAGCCTTCGAACAGTGTACTGTCTGTATGGCTACAAGATATATCCAACCCCTCAAAACGAAATGGCCCTTATCGACAATGCTTGTGCATGACTATACCGTTGTTTGGTTTGGGTATTCTAGTTGTCTGGGTACTTGGATCGTGTCGAAGTGAGTTTGCTTCGTCAAGTGTCGTCGCGGTCGGATCGGTTCTTCGAAGCGTCGACTAGTCAAGGGGATATGCAAAAACGCGTGACCCAAGCCTGTGACCAAGTGCGCCACTTGCGGTACAGTGCACTTTGATATCTATCTCTAGCTATATGCCGATATATATATATATATTGTGTTTCTTTTACCCCAAATTTGGACTTGGATGCTAACTCCATCGATCAATATAAATGTTTATGCTGACTTTTGTATGTAAGTGTCACGCGAATTCCATATATGCATGCACACGCGAATTCAATGTTGAATTGGAATCGAACGAGTGGATCATTTGATTGGCTACTTGATTCGTGATATCTGGGATTTGATTGGTCGTATGTATATATATCGATTGTCTGCCATGATTCTGTTGATTCTGTTGATTCGGCACCCCCACTCGCAAATATTTCGAATCGACTTGACAATATATATAATATACAACTGTCTGTGGTGTATGATATATATATATACGTGTGTAGGACAACGATGGACCGGCTACGCAATTCGTTGGCTGACAAATCGCTTGCGATCTTGCAACTGCATCGCAAACAGAAACGTCTGGTCGACTTGCACGAGCTGATGGTCCAGATCGAAGACTTGAAGCACACAGAGAGCAGCGTGGAGGCACTTGTGCACGGCCACGACTACACGGGCGCGCTCGACGTGATCGACCGAGCACTGACGACGATTCACCAGATGACGGGTATCCACTGCGTCCGGGCGGTGGGCGACAAGCTGCTTGCGTACCGGAGCTTTATCGGGGTACAAATGGCGGCGCGGTTCACGTCGGTTGTGACGTCCCCCGACTGGCCATTTTTTGATGCCACACTGGCACAGAAAAACAATTCTACCACCCAGCCCCCGTCGTCGTTGGCGTACCAGCGCCTCCAGCTCAAGCAAAAGGAGACGACAGAGGAGATGCAGCAGCTCATGGACGCTCTTTTCCGCGTCGACCTCGTGCCCGACGTCATGGCCAAGTACCGCGGTCACATGACGGACGAGATCAAGATTGTGGTCAAGACTGTGGTCAGCGAAACCATCGCGACGTCGTCGTCGTCCGACCCCGCGGCGCCAGACGTGAGCTCGCAACTGCGCGCGCTGAGCTCGGAGGAGTTTTTGAACTGCGTGCAAATGATCTTTGAGCACTTGTTGGTGGTGCTACAGCGCGCCATGTCGGTCCAGACGATGCTAGCCCACATGTATAACGTCGCGGCAAAGTCCGACGACGACGTTGCTGACACGTCAGAGCCACGACGGGATGCGCCTGCCGCCGCCGACTGGTCGCCAGACTGTGACACAGATGCAAGCGTGCATGATGAAGGAGGGTCAGAACGACTGGGCGAGTGGCAAGAGAAGAAGAAGGCGAGTAAAATCATCAAAGAACTGGAAGACGCGATTCGGAAAACGTGCGAGTTCTCACAGCGCAGTGTGTCCAACCTGTTTGGCGTGCGAAAAGAAGTCCAGGTACGAGGATGGATACCCGACTCAAAACAACACGATATATATATATATATATTGTAAATTCGCTATATATTTCCAAAATTCGCGTATGTCGAATCACGATGGAATCACGCTGCAAGTTTTGATTGGCTGACTATACTTGTCCTTTCGAGCCAATCAAATCCCCACTCAAAAATGGAGTAGCCAATCACGTCGATTCTTGATTCAATTCGGCGAGATATACATTCGACGGGGTCTGGAAATAATTCGTACCAAATATACCACAATATTGTGTTTGCTTTCCAGTGAATAATTTCGTGGTTTCTCGGTGGAATTTAAATCGATTTGATTGGCTACTTCAGATGAGCTCAAAATTATTAGCCAATCAAAACCCATTTCTCAATGAAAGTCAACCACCAATCCGATCGATTGTGGATCGGTTTGGTCGGCGCGATTCGATTGCACCCCCTCCCCAAATTTGTATCAAATCGACAATATATATGAGGACTGATCCATCGACCGAGACTAGGCCAACTATACCATGCCCCAGCTGCGGTCGCTATATGACGCCACGATGGCGTTCGTGGTACAGATCGAACAATCGACGGGCAAGACCGACTACACGCTACGCGGCGCCTTGTTCAACCAACTCAAGCTCTTCCTTGAAAAGTATCACCAAGCCCAAACCACCAAGCTCGTGTCCACCCTCAACCATGAATTGTGGAAAAATGCCGAGATTTCGGCGGCGAGGCATGCCGCCCTCGTCGATGTCGCCACCGGCAAGGGCGTATCGCTCGTGCTATCGCATGACCAAAGCGTCGGAGCCGACACGGCGGCGCCGTTGAAACAGCTGACGCTCCCCACTGCATCGTTTCGAGTGGTGTGGTCGGTGCTACTTGCGATGGAGATTGTGATGAATTACTTGAGTTTGGCCGTGAATTTCCCAGTGTTGGCCACCGACGTACTCCAACGAACGACGGAAATCCTGCGGGTAAGTTGTCCAGGAGTATATATATATATATATGTAGGTGTGCATTGCGTATTGTGCGATCAACATATATATATATAATATATATGTGTGGGTGTGTGTGTGGGTGCAATCCGTTGAGAGTTTTCGCATTGGATTGTAGGAAAAAACATGGTTCAATGCCAACGCGCTCGAAAGGATATGTATTTATATATATTATATATTATATTTTTTATATCGATTAAAAAAAATTCACATCGTTTCATTGCTTTTTTGATATGTACGAAAACCATGGAATAGTAGAATTTTCGTTGGTTTAGATCCAAATAAAAAAATACTTTGAAGTACTGCTTTAGACTGTTCATAGTGCGATGATGCATTATTGATTGCCTTGTTCGAGCAGCGATAGTGTTATGTGTTTTCTCCAATGGAGTACAGAGGGCGACCCGATTTTAAGCGACACTTGCTACTTCGAATTTACCAATTCATCGGAAATGATTGGTTGAATAACTTCGAACTTCGATGGAAATCTCTAGCGAATCACAAAATGACTTTTACAAATTCAAATCTTATTGGCCATAATAATATTCTGTGCTTCCATAAAATTTCGGTGTCCCCTGTTGTAGTTAGTATATATACTGTATGCCAACAACAAATATGATTGTATCTTTTTTAATAATACTAATTGTTATTAATAGTTGTACAATTCGAGGACAACACAGCTGGTGCTGGGTGCTGGCGCGATGCAAGCGGCGAATTTGAAGAGCATTTCCGCCAAACACTTGGGGCTGGCATCGCAGTCGTTGGAGGTGATCGTCGCGTACATCCCGCACATCAAGTGTCAGCTATCGGCGTTGCTCACCCAGCGCCAGAAATTGCTGCTGGACGACTTGGACAAGGTATTGCAAGACTATGTCGAGCACAACAGCAAGATCTTTGGCAAGTTTATCAGCATCGTTGAAGACCAAATCATGAAACAATTTCTCGAGCATATCGACCGCGATGTCGACTATGATGACCCGACCCTTGTGCTCCCGACCGCGCCGCTCAAAGGCATTGCACAAAACACAGTCAAGCTGTACCAGGTGCTAAGTCCGGTGCTGCCGCCGCTGCAGATGCAGGCCGTGTTCTCGAGGGTATTTGACATGCTCGAGCACAAAATGCCCAGTTGCTTCAAGGCCGTGCAGCCCCACACGGCCGCCGGCAAGCGGCGCGTCGTGGCCGATGTGGTCGCGTTCGTCGACAGCTTTCACGAACTCCGAGGTGTTGTCGACCTGCGAGGTGACCAGCTCGTAGCGCATTTTAAATCGAGCTATGAATAAACAAACAGCAAACACACCCCTTGTTCCAAACATTATATTGTTTGTCCCATGAGAATATACACTTTACGAGGATGTCATCACTAGAATATGCGAAACATATACTAGTAGAATAAGCTAGTCCCTGATTATATTATTGCCCAATTTATACTTCGAACCTTTGGTTCCAAGCACTCAAACTACTATTAATAGTAGTAATTTCGAAAGAAACTTGTCAACTTTCATAAAAAAGACGCCTCTATTTGTATGTTTTGGCGAAAAACGCGATATGTCGTAAAATATTGAATTCTCCAACTTATGGATCCAGAGAATTTTTCAGTTTTTGCCGATTTGTTCGAAATTGCCAAAATATCGACCTTTGTTTCGACCTCGGGACTCAATTATATTTTATTCGATTTGTTTTATTTTTCTATGTAAATCTAATAATATCTTTTTTACTAGTACTACGTTGTACCCTACTTCGAACTATAAACAGCATAAATCATGAAGTACTATTAGTATACAGCTGTACTGGTAGTTCACAGATGTGCAAGTCGGTGTACTTCACCTAATTTTTATTTATTTCTCGGCGGATTTGATATCATCCACACAAACACACACACGTGACCATGTACTATTATTGCTTTCACAGAGGTTGTCAAAAGGAGACGATGATTCCTCCATCTACTTGGGTGATTGGGCGATGGCGTGCACCGTGTCCAACGCTTCCGTGAGTGCTTGGGCAAACTTGGGGCTGGACGTGGTGGGGCAATCGACAAAGCTCGTGATATTGATGGGCAGGTGGTCGTTCTGGATGAGGTAGCCGACGCCGTAGCCCGTGGGCGCCACCGCGCCAAAGCAAAAGTAGTCGAGGAATGGCATCGTCACGTTGCTCGACGAGATTTGAAAGTTGGTCGCGTTGCGGCGGATAGTCGACGTTAAAAAGTCATGTGACACGCCCGACGTACCAGCGACGTGGTTGAGCATCGTCAGATGGCGGTCCACGCCGAGCCCCTTTTGCGCCTCCTTGGCGTTGGCCACGTGCCGGTCCACGGCTTTGACGAGAAACTCACGCTGGGACGCCACCGACGCGCCGGACGAGACGGCCGACACGAACCGCAGCGCCTCCGACGTCGCCGACCGGATGGTTTCAGTGCGGCCGTGGAAGAAACCGCGCGTCGAGCACGACTCGTAGGTCGGGGGGAGGCGGTGGTGTTGGTTGAAGAACGCCAGCTGCAGCGCCATTTGCACCACTCCGTCCGGGCTCAGCCCCCACGTCTTGATCGTGTTCTTGCCAAAGCCCTTGTACCGCAACAAGTGCGTTTCGTTGTTGGCCGTGTCGGCCGCGGCGCGGGCCTCGGCGGCTTCAATCGCTTTGTGCGCGGCCGCGTCGAGCGAGAACGCGAGCGGCGACGTAAAGGATAATGGCGGCGTGTCAAAAGACCCTTTAGCAGCTACGAGCGGCGCGTACCCAGAGTCTGTCTGGTGGACGTCGTGCCACACTTCATGCAGCCAACGGTTCCAGTTGGTGCCATCGGAAAACGTGTGCTCAAAGTTCACGGCCACGTGGCCGTCGGGGTAGGCGATCAGCTGCAGCTTGTCGAACCATCGGTTGGCGCCGCGGTCGCCGTGGAGGGTCGCGGCGGACAGCGCCGAGTCGTCCGTGTACGTCGTGTCATCCAGCACGAGCACGAACAGCGCCGAGTCGATAGTGTCGAGGGAGGCTTGGTTAACGGGCTCTTGGCGTAGGTCGGAGCGAACGGCCGCCCACACATCGCGGTCTTCAGATGTGAGCACGGCGAGGTTGGGGGCGGTGGAAGCGGACACGCCGTGGGTGGAAATGTGGCTTAGAGACGCTTGCAGAGACTCCTGGGACACGATTTTCTTGCCGTCCAACACTTGCACCTTGTAGAACGCGTTGCGGTGCAGCACCACAATGTGTTCCGATCGCGGGTGAAACTTGAGCACGTCCATCGACGGCTGAGGAATCTTGGCCGTGCCCAGTTGCTTGGCGTACGCCGCCATGCACTGCTTCGGGTCTTGCTCTAATGTGCCCGACTTGACCTTGTCAAACCACTTGAGAACCGACACGACGATCGTCGACGTGCGCGTGAGCGGGTCTGCCAAAACGCTGCCCGCGGGTTCGTTCACCAAGCCGTACCTGCTCATCGTGTCGTGATGAGGGAGAAGTATGGAGGGGGCAGGTGCGTGGATGTACGTACCCTGGGTTGACGTTGATGGGATTCGGGTACCGCCCGCCCAGATACATGGCATCCCACCACGCTTCGATGTAGCTGAACGGGTACGCGCGCCCCATGGCGTTCACAAACTCCTGCTTGATCAGGTCGTCTTGCAACGTCCGGCCCACACTTCGGTTTTGGCCCAAGCCAAAGTCCTCGACGAGTTTCTTGTGCTCCTTGTACTCGTCCGGCGTAATGAGCGGCTGGACAGACTTGAGGTACTTCTCCAGTGTGTCGTTCAGTTGTGGCACCGGCAAACGAGGGACGTCGTAGTCGTTGTTGTTCACAAGCTTGAGGAACCAGCTGGGATGCTTCACGGTCTCATCCGCCGCCGTGGTAGACAGCGCGCGGCGGAGCGTAGACGACGCAGCAGGACGAACGGGAAACTTCATGACGATCGGGGAAATGGCAACTTCGTCGAGGCCCCAGAACCGCCACAGTGTCCGGATAAATCATTTCCGGATTGTTCCTATGGTATCTTAATATATTTCTCAACCATTTTTCCGTTTTATAGCACAATATACACTACAATTATGACAAGGTGAGTCTAACGTGTAGATGGCCAGTTTATGGGGCATGGGACAGTTTAAGGTGCACTCAAAATGGCCAATGGAATTACTTGATTTTTGGAATAGCCAATCGAATCACTAGAAAAATGAAATCACCAAAAAATAAGCAAAAACAGCATAAGCTTAAACCGTGCACGATAAACCGTCCACCTATTTTGCCTTGATTTCAGTGGAAATCGAAGTAAATGAAAGTGATTCACAAGCCGATTAATAAGCAAAAGAATGCCCAACCTTTCGGCCGTTCTAACTGTAAGAGACGAATAAGGTGAATTCTACGACGAGGTCTCTTTCAAGTGCACCATCAATTGGCCATTTACGTTACGGCATTGTTGCGATTGCAATACAAATGCATCTATTGTTCGCTGGTACGTATCAATTACACTGGTCGCAGACGTCGTCCAGGTTAAACGGCAGCAGCGTTTCAGGGTTTGCTGTAACCGACCGTTTCGTTTTGAAACCGATACATCCAATTTGGTTAGGGCGATGGACGACCGACGGCGCGCCGGCAGCGACGCCGCCGGAGAGGATGGCGGTGTCAACGACAAGATCACCGTACGACCAGAGTACGAACCCTACATATACATATATCCGTTCCAGCGTCACAATATGCGTTAGATTCGTGCTGGGGGTTCGCGGGGCCGTCCAAAGCAACGTCGAGTTTGGGTCGGACACGCACTTGCTCTTTCCCGCGGCCCACCACGTGTGTCTGTTCAATTTGGACAGACGGACCATGGAGTTCTTGCACCCGACGCGCGGGATTCGCAGTGTTCAGAGCATGTGTGTGTCTGCCAACAAGGAGCTGTTAGCCGTGTGTGAGCAGCAGGCGGTGCGGTATTCCAAGAGCATCAGCGACCAATTGGGGGTGAGTCCCAACCAGATCTCCATCTACAAGCTGTCGTCGCGGTCGCGGCTCAAGACGTTGCCGTCGCAGTCGCACTCGCCGATTCTGTCGGTGGCGTTCTCGGCCGACAACAAGACCCTCGCGACGCTCGAAGACGCGCCGTCGTACCGTATCGGGTACTGGAAGTGGAGCACGTCGAAACTGGTCGCCCACGCGCAGTGTCCGTCGCGAGGCATGCGGATCCGTATTTGCCCCGTGAACGCCAACTTTGTGACGATTTCCGGACCCATGGTACTGCGGGCATGGACACTCTCGTCGGCGGGGGACCTCCGCATGACCAACTTGATCCCGCAGATCCGGGAACAAGAGCACTTTGTCGACCACGTGTGGGTGCGCGAGTTTCTCGTGACTGTGTCCGAGATAGGCACCCTCCTCACGTTCCGCGCCACCGACGACGACGGCGTCGAGCTTGTTCACTCGACCAAACTCAGTCAGCTATCTGCCCACTTGACCCTCGGCAAGATTGAGACCATCACGGCCAGCTCCAAAGGGTTTGTCTTGGCGGGCGCCGCCGGGTGTTTTGGGGTGTTTGAATTTTCGGTACAAATGAAATGTACCCACGCTGGAGCGTATAAAAATGTGACACTGTCACGCTCGTCGATTGCGATTGCTTATATGATGATGTCACATATAATATGGAGTGAGTACATATGCATTGAATCGTCGATTAGGACGACCCGAAAGACCCGTTCATTTTGATCCGCGCCTTGTCTGCCGGAGACATGACCATCGAGAGCCTGGCCATCTCGCCCAACTGCGATACGGTCGTGGCATATACAAGCAACCAGCGACTCGTGACTTTTGCCATGGGTTCCATCGACATCGTCCAAGACAACTCACACGCTGAATTCCGAGATTTAATCCCCAATGTACCGACGACCCCATATCGTTATGTTTTGGACATTGAAATGGAACTCCTATATATATATATATATCGGTGTGTCATCGGGGTGTTTGGGATGATGTAGGGTACACACTGTGGCGGCATCTTGACGTTTGACATTTGCCTGCAAAAGCCGATCATTGTCACATGCGGCACAGACAAGACGATTCGGTCGTGGAACTACCACTTGGCCGCGTACGAGGTAGTGGCGCAGCTGTCGGAGGAGCCGACGACCATCAGTTTGCACCCCGCGGGGTTCCAGATTGCCATTGCGTTCAAGGAGCGTGTGCGGCTGTACAACATCCTTCAAGACGGACTGCGCGTGCTGCGCGAAGTGTCGATGAAAGCCGCCAACGTGCTCCAGTTTGCCCACGGCGGGCACCTCTTGGCCTGTGGCGCCGGCCTCAACGTGTACATTTACCGCACGCATTCGGTACGGCAACGTCCAAATGATGTGATATTTTTTGCCATGTCAATCTTGTATATGACCATGTATGTATGTATACACTTGCAGTGCGACCTCGTCCACACGTTCACGGGGCACATCAACGTGATTCAATGCCTACGGTGGACAATCGACGACAGCATCTTGTACTCGGCGGGCAATGACGGAGCCATATACTGCTGGAACATCCACACTGGTCCGACGAGACTTTAAATATGAGGAGGCAACGTTGCTCACCAACTTTGCACTAGGCAACCGTTGCGATGACATGCAGCTCGTGGTGAAACATACTAAGTTTACGTCGGCGGTCATCGACGCAGACAACCCCAAGTACGTGGCGGTGGGGGGCTCGGACGGCAAGTTGCGCGAAATCATTGCCGGCGAAGAAGCGAATTGCGTCGATGTTGGCACCCCCCTGACCCACCTTGCCTTGACAAAGTCGAATCGGTGCGATCTGATAGTCTATCTCGTTGTTTAGTGTATATATATATTTGAATATATATGGCGCGGGTGTATGGGTGGGTGATATTCATTCAGTCCAAAACAACAACATCCCAATCCCCACCCAATCTATTTTTGCTTCCAATGGACCAAGTGTAAATGATATATATATATTTGTCTACTTGTAGATGGCTATTTGTGTCCACTCGAGTGGGGACCGTCTATGTCTTTGCGTGGCCATTGGGGGCTCAGACGACCCCCGTCCACGACATTTCCGTGCACAGTGAACCCATCACCCAGCTTTGTCTCACCGACGACGATCGGTACTTGATCAGGTATTATGTATATACATACGATGTCCCCGTTCTCTCTGCCAAAGTAAAAACCAAACAAATAAGATGGGGGGGGGCTGTGTTGGTTGATTGTTCAATCTTCAGTAGTTGTGAAACATAACCCAAACTGGTCATGTAGCTCGTCAGACGACGGATGCGTGAGCATCTTTCGTGTGGACGACAACTCGGGGTATTTGGATGTGGATCTCGTGCACCGCAAGCTGCCGGCCATGACGACGGACGCGGTGCTCGTGTCGCGCGAAGAGATCGAAGACAAGAACGAGCAGCTGACCGACCTCCAGCAAAAATACGAACAAGTCAAGAGCGACATGGACTTTTCATTGCACTCGAAGGAAAACGAGTGGATCGACCGGCTGCGGTTCTTAAAAGAAGAGTGCGAGCGGTCGCTAGTTCAAGAGCGAATTCGGTACCAAATCTGTTATATACAGTATTGTGTGGATTCGGTAGTACAACTAGTTCAAGAGCGAATTCGGTACCAAGTCTGTTATATACAGTATTGTGTGGACGAATCGGCGCTATTGGCTAATCTAAATTTGATTGGCTCGAAAGGACAAGTATATTCAACCAATCAGAACTCCAGTATATGATTCAATCTGGATTCGACAACCCGCGCGAATTTTGGACGTTTAGAGCGAATTCACAGTATTATTCTGTCCTTTTACCCCAAATTTGGTTGACTCTTGTGCTGATTCTTTGCCAAATCGATCGATCGATATCTTCTTTGTACTGACTTTTGTATGTAAAAACGGGTGGTGATTGATATCACACGAATTGAAGTCATACACTAATTCGACATGGATGATGGTTTCCTGCAATCTGATTGGTTAAATCCTTCGGTCGATTCTTTGTACGTTTGGTTGTGTGGTCGATTCATTCTCCATATATGTCGCTCCAGCTTAGAATAAACAAAACAATATAAACGGTAGCATAGACGTTTGCGTGGAATCGTGGATATTGATGGGGGAATAGTTCGATATACATTGGTGGGCGTTTTGGGGTTGATATTGTTGTTCATTTTAACACTGTAAATAAATATATAATACTTGTCAATATATAATACATATATCATTATTTGTTTATACATGTAGATATGAAGAGTTGGAGCAGCGGTACCAGAATTCCCTGCGCAAACACAGCGACGAGGTTGCGCAGAAAGAGTCGAACCACGCTACGTTTTCGCAAGTGCGTGGAATATATATTATGATTTTTCGATACTTGGTATTATTTTATTATACATTCATTGATCATTAACACGAAGGAACTCGAAAACCGATACGAGCACAAACTGGCCATGGAAATAGCTCGGTACGACCGGCTGTCGGAAGAGATGGAGACCACGCGGCAGCAATGCGCCATGTTAATTGAAGCGCAAGACAAGCAGCAAAAGGTCGTCTTGGAGAACGAGCGGCGCGCCGCCAACTCTCGCGCCAAGGAGCAGGTTCAGCAGATCCATGTTTGACAAAACGTATGATAAAGCTGTGGCATGGCAGGTGGAGCTGATCAAGCGGGTGAAGGAAGATTTGACGTACAACCACGTGAAGTTTGAGGAGATTTTGAGTCAGCAGGAAGAAGACTATGAGTTTCAAATCCAAAAGCTCAAGCAAGAATACGAAGGCCAGTTGACGGTGGAGCGCCAGAACACGGCCATCAAGGAGACGCAAATCACGGGCAAAAACAGCAAAATCGACTCACTCAAGAAGAAAATTCAAGAGCTCAAGGCGAATGCATCGGCACGGGACATCCTCTTGTCCACGGAGAAGGCCAAGACGGTTAAACTGGAGACGGCGCTGGCCAACTACGAGCGGCACTTTGACGGGCTGCAGGGCAGCATTGACGAAAAGGAAAAGGCGGTGCAAGGCCTGAAAGCATCCAACCGGGTCTTGGAAAGCTTTCGATTTGTACTGGACCACCGCGTGGAGGAACTGCAAAGTGAAAAGTCGCCGATGCAAAAACTCATTTCTGGCCTCGAATCGCACATCCACGACGTGCAAGAGGAAATGGTCGACCAGTTTCATCAAAAAGACTTGGTAAAGCAACCCAATGTCGTGTCCATGTCGAGAAGTAGACTGGGGGTGTTTCGGGGTTCTGGGGCTCGAAATTCTCTTACAAATGACTGTATTGTTGTTTGTAGGCCGAAGAAACGCTGGCGTCCAAGGAAATCAAGATCAAAGCACTTACGAACGAAGTCAACGCCCTGCGCCTTATCACGCGCAAAAAAGAGTCTGAGATCGGTGCCATGTCGAGGGAATTTGCCCGGATTGTGTTGATTTCAAACCCCAAGGAACTCGAACGCGCCGTGAAGGAGGCGTACATTGTATATGTCAAGGGGGAGGCCCCCAAGGATAAGCGCACCCGCAGCATCTTGAGCTCGTCTTCAAAGGGCGACGACGACCCCCAGTCCCATGCGGCTCTGGCCGGCCTCGGCGGCGACGACAACCGCGAAGTGGTCCAAGAAGCATGCAAGCAAATGCAGTTTATGCACCGATCCGTGAGCACGCTCAAGAACGCGCTGCACCACGCCAAGGCGGAAGCCGACCACCGCCACCGCGAAGCCGTCACGGAAGGCAACATCCTGCTCCAGGACATGAACCATTTGAGGAAAGCCAACAAAACGCTTGAGCTCAAGGTGAAAGAGATGGAGAGCGCGCTGTACTTGGCCACCCAATCCCATGATGGCAAAAAGAAGTCCAAACTGCCACAACAGCAGTTAAATGTCGATGCCAAGCCAGGAGGCAGCTTCCTGTCGCCGCTCAAAAAGTCGGCGTCGGCGGCGCTGACCGCCCAGCGTCTAGTCGTGGGCAGTGTCTTGCCGTTTCGAGCGATCGAACAGGCCAAAGACGCGTCGAGAGTGATCAACGCCGCGACGGCGATGGAGTATCGCCAGCAAATTGACGCGCAAAGGAAAGAAATCCAGCGGCTCAAAACCCAAGTGGGGCTTCTCCTCAATGAGAACGCGACCAACGGTAACGTTACGTCCTTCAACTGTTATATTATGCCTATGTTGTTGACTACATGGGAAGAAATAACCTGCTTGGTGTTGCCCTTGATTTGAACTGTTTGCATGTTGTGGACAATACTTGGTACTGTACTACGTAACGAGTCGTGTGATGCTAGAATGGAGAGTGCACGAAGTAGTGTAGAATTTCCATCACATGCTTGCTAAATGTGAAAATGGGGCAATAGGCGACCCAGCCACCACCACCACGAGCACAAACCACCCCGATGTATTATCTGCTACCAACTCAAAGGCCAAGGGAGTTCACCTGTCTGCCACCCAAACGGCTCATAGCATTACAAGGCGGCAGTCGTTCGTGTTTTCGAGCGATCCATCCTTTGCCAACGAGCCCAACCTCGACCAACATCACTGCGACAACTCAAGTTCCCCCAACAAGAGTGACAGCGCCGCTGCAACATAATCATGTTTCAGTCTAAACTGTAGTAGTCTTGGTCGAGCTGGGTTACTAGCATACAGTACAGTACCAATGTCCCGACAGTAGTGCAGACTGACATTCCGACGTTATCCGAGCTAGAGCGTTCTTTCCGTCGACTACTTCTTTACGCCAATGAATGAACGATGGCGAGGTTCGTACAGTAGCTGCGAATCCAATCGAAACATCATTCGTGTCTGACAAATCGTTGTTGATCGTCATACGTACTTTGGTGTTATAAACTCAATCCAATAACCTTCACAGCCATGACAAGACATCAAAAATGTAGCACAGTTACGAGGAATATTCCCACTTGGACGTGGAAACAGTCTTAGCCTGAAACGTTGTGCACAGTGGTTGTTGGGGCATCGACGAATTACATTTCGTGTCTGCTTTGAACATGAGCGTGTAATTCCCGTCCGTGACAACTCGGTGCAGACCGCGGCCAATCGTGTTTGTGTAAATGCCCACATCCGTCGCCCCCACTCGGAACTGAACGACTTGTGCATTTCCAGCCCCCAGTTGGATCTTTTCAAATTTGATCAGGCGCTTTGTCTCAGGCACGTTGCCTTGGCGAGTGTCTTGACGCACAAACAGCAGCACCACTTCCTGGCCAGCCACCGACCCCGCATTGCGCACTGTCACATTTATATCAACGGTATGCCCCTCCGCCACACGCAGACTCACGTTGGAGTACTCGAACGTCGTGTAGGTCAAGCCCGCCCCAAATGGCCACTCGTGCTCGCATTCGCCAAACGTCTCGTTCACGACGCACCCGAGGTTCTGTCGGTGGTAGTACGGCACCGCGCTGTCCGCCATAGTCTTGGGGTACGTAAACGGCAACCTGCCGCTCGGATTCACAGACCCCAAGAGGATGTCGGCGATGGCCGTGCCGCCCAACTCACACGGCAGCATCGCGTTCAGCACGGCGTGGACTACGTCCGGAAGCCCCCGCAGCAAGCGAGGACGACCTTGCACCAACACCAACACGACCTTGGTCCCCGTGGCCGCCAGCGCCCGGACGTACTCTTGCTGACCGCGAGGCAAGTCCAAGTCGTCAATGTCGCCCTGTTTCTCCGCGTACGGCCCTTCGCCTAGCACCACGACCGTGTAGTCGGACCGAGAGGCTTTCTTGACTGCATTAACCAGCACATCTTCGGTATACGCGCCGTGGATATCGACCCCTGATATGGCTTCGATGGCGCAGGAAGGACACGCGACGCGCAGCGCGTCTTGGACTGTCTGTCCGTGCGGAAACAAGGCGTTGTCAGACGACAGCCCCTGCCACGCCAGACTCCATCCCCCGCAGAGGTTCCCGATACTGGCGATGGATGGACCCGTGAGGAAGATACGACTGGATACAGCGATGGGCAATGTCGAGTTGACGTTCTGGAGCAGCACGATACTCTCGGACGCGAGTTTGTACGCGAGTCGTTGGCTGGCCGCGTCGCCCACCAAGTCGACGACGTCCTTGCCGGGCACGGGGACCTCGTACAGGTTGAGACATAGCTTGAGTGCCGTGATGCGCCGGACCGACTCGCGCAGCCGGGCGACGTGAAGCTGGTTTTCTTCTTTTAGGAGGGCGAGGGTGTGGTTGATAAAGAGAGTGTCCGATGCGACCATGCTCATGTCGATGGACGTGTGTGACAGCGTCTGGCGCACCGCGTCGCGGTCGGACGCGGCCACGTGGTGGAAGTTGTGGAGGTCGTTGATGACGGCCCAGTCAGTGACAAGCATCCCTTTGAACGCAAGGTCGTGGCGCAGCAACTTGACGAGCAACTTGTGGTTGACCCCCATGGGTTTGCCGTTGACCGACATGTAGCCCATCATGCCCGTGAGCACACCAGCGTCGATGGCCGCGACGAACGGTGGCATGTGGTAGTTGAGCAGGTCATAGTCGGACAGTGTCACAGGGTCGCGGTCGTGGCCCGTGGGGGTGGCTGCGTACCCAATAAAGTGCTTGAAGCAGGCTGCGATCGTGTGGTTATCTTGGAGCCCGCGGACGATGGCGCGCCCGAGCTCCGCTACCACGTACGGGTCCTCGCCGAACGTTTCGTACACGCGTGCCCACATCTTAGAGGTTGGGACGTCCAGGATTGGCCCGAAGATCCAAGGAATCCCCGCAGCCACTGTGTCCCGACCCGTGACGTCCCCCATGTCGCGCACCAGCTTGCGGTTGAACGACGCCGCCGCGTTGATCTGCTGCGGGAACATGACGGCGTTTGTCACGTAGTTGGCGCCGTGCACAGAGTCTAGTCCGTACAGGATCGGGTGTTTGCTGTGCACGGCGTGGATCAACTGGATGGACGTGATCAAGGCGCGCCACTCCGTCGCCGTCCACCCCGCCTTGGACCCAACCGGACCCTCGGCGAACGGCGAGGTCAAGTACGACCCCACGTGGAGCTTGGCCATGGCCTCCACCTTGGTAGCATTGAGCGTCATGTCGCTGTTGAGGACGGTCGCGATGTCCACTTGCGTCATTTGTCCCACAAGTTCTTCGACTGTCTACAGTAGGAGCGTTCGACATGTTATCTCCTAAGGTAGGGTAGGCGTCAAAGATGTATTAAATACCATATTCGCCACTGTCACATATGCAAGGCTATGGCATGCGTCGAAGCTGTTGGGTCGAGCATGCGCTGCTGCGACCACCCATAGGCACGAGGTCACCAATAAAGTGATACACGAGCTGTGAATCATGTTCGTCATAATTCAGAAAATGACATGAAATATGGGCGACAATAACTGCACCACGCATTACATTTTCGATTTGTTGAGAACAAATTGGCCAGGATTTAATCAATTTCACTTACAAATGCCTAGTGATTAAATTTGAGGAACTATTTGTTCAAGAAAATAGGGAAAACGTAAAGCATATTGCACTACGTTGCATTGGGCCAATCACATCGCTAGAAAATAGGCATATTCATGCATGTTTGAGCTTCAAGCTTCCAAGACGATACTTCTTTGACGACGTACTACTTACTATTAATTGTACGCCATCGTGCTGAGCTCACCTGAACAAATTGGCCAGGATTTAATTAATTTCACTTACAAATCCTTAGTGATTAAATTTGAGAAACTATTTGTTCAAGAAAATAGGGAACACGTCATGCATATTGCACTACGTTTCATTGGGCCAATCAAATCGCTAGAAAATAGGTATACTCATGCATGTTTGAGCTTCAAGCTTCCAAGACGATACTTCTTTGACGACGTACTACTTACTATTAATTGTACGCCATCGTGCTGAGCTCACCTGAACAAATTGGCCAGGATTTAATTAATTTCACTTACAAATGCCTAGTGATTAAATTTGAGGAACTATTTGTTCAAGAAAATAGGGAACACGTAAAGCATATTGCACTACGTTTCATTGGGCCAATCACATCGCTAGAAAATAGGTATACTCATGCATGTTTGAGCTTCAAGCTTCCAAGACGATACTTCTTTGACGACGTACTACTTACTATTAATTGTACGCCATCGTGCTGAGCTCACCTGAACAAATTGGCCAGGATTTAATTAATTTCACTTACAAATGCCTAGTGATTAAATTTGAGGAACTATTTGTTCAAGAAAATAGGGAACACGTAAAGCATATTGCACTACGTTTCATTGGGCCAATCACATCGCTAGAAAATAGGTATATTCATGCATGTTTGAGCTTCAAGCTTCCAAGACGATACTTCTTTGACGACGTACTACTTACTATTAATTGTACGCCATCGTGCTGAGCTCACCTGAACAAATTGGCCAGGATTTAATTAATTTCACTTACAAATCCTTAGTGATTAAATTTGAGAAACTATTTGTTCAAGAAAATAGGGAACACGTCATGCATATTGCACTACGTTTCATTGGGCCAATCAAATCGCTAGAAAATAGGTATACTCATGCATGTTTGAGCTTCAAGCTTCCAAGACGATACTTCTTTGACG